ATCCTGTATGTCATTATCATCATTATCTTTATCATTATCATCACTATTATCATTACCGTCAATTCCTTTCAACCTTCACTACAGTGTTAGAATAGAAATACATTATAAACTAGCAAATAAAGGAAGATAAAAATGACTGTTTCCAGAATACGAAAGACTCTGACAATCGCTGCAAGCCTCCTTTCTAATGTCCATAACTAGTAAGGCACGGTATACATTTCCTTCTTTTCCGTCCTTTCTCAACCATGACATGGTCCCCTGTGTTCCAGAATCTCTCTCTCTCTCTCTCTCTCTCTCTCTCTCTCTCTCTCTATATATATATATATATATATATATATATATATATATATATATATATATATATATATATATATGCATATTCTTTTCTTTTTCACTCTTCTTTCAAAGGAGTCAGAAGAAGGTTAACCCCGTCTTTTGGCCTGAGCAAACCCATGCCAAAGTCAGTCTTAATCTCCTCGTGTCCGGGTGCCACCCTGATGTCCGAGGCAAGGAGCATCTTGGCCAGGGCTACTTTGGCTTCCATGAGGGCGAATCTCATCGCTGCAAAGGAAGTGAAATCTATATAAGTGATTTATTCCTTATTACTTATGGATATTATTATAAGACTTATTAGTAGAAAAGGCTCGAGAGAGAGAAGCCACAAGTGAGAGAGAGAGAGAGAGGGAGAGTATAAGAGGTGTTTAACCTTCTATATCTGACACTGATGGGGCAGGATATATACTACTTATACGGCTTAACTCTTTATTGATGAGCTACCCACACGAGTAGAAATAAACACGATACGAGACTGGTCACTGCGGGGTGCGGTGCCCGTATAGTGAGGGCATAGCTGCAGGTGGTCAGCAAAGAGGTAGGATCGTTCTCAGGAGAAAGTGTGTCTAATTGAGTCTCTGAGTGTATCTCTGAGACAGAAATCAAGCTGGGTCACTTTATATTCGTCAAACGATGGGCAGAACGATGGGGGTTTGGCGTGGGGTGTATATTTAGAATTACCCGTGGCATGGAACAGCAAGGAATCCGCATGAACTCACAGTCTATTTACTTTCATGATGCAATATGCTATTTAGTATGTTATAGAGAGAGGTATATAAATAGAAAGAACTATCGAAACAAGACGAAATTATTCCCAATCGACATCTTACTCCTAAACCTCAGGTTATCTCACCTAAGCAGTTCCTGGGTCCGATTCCGAAGGGTATGTGCGTGAGGTGGGTGATGTTCGCCTTGTTCTCGGGCAGGAAGCGCTCGGGGCGGAACACCTCGGGCTCGGGCCAGTACTTCGGGTCCCGATGGATTTGAAAGAGTGGACATGTCACCACCATGCCAGGCTCGATGGTCACGTCCGTGCCGGGGATCCTGCAATTATTTAAGGTTAGTTATTAAAGAAGTATGCGTGTGCCATATATATATATATATATATATATATATATATATATATATATTATATATTATATATATATATATATTATATAAACAGCTACGCAGAAAAATATTTTTTAGAAAATCATGCTAAACATTCTGACTTATTAAACACTGATTTGCAAACTACTTTTGGATATGTTTAGCTTATCCTGATATTGCAAGGCAAATTCCATCCCTTACAGGAATAAAATCGTCATCTCACAGTGAATCAATATGGATTCTGGAACGACATTCGAAAATGAATTAGAGCAAGACAGATTCGAAACTCATACACACACAGATATATATACATGTGTGTATGTATACCTGTATATCTACATTCACACACACACACACACACACACACTCACACACACACACACACACACACACACACACACACACACACACACACACACACACACATTATATATATATATATATATATATATACATATATATGCATATATGCATGAATATATATAAACTGTGAAGGTTATGAAATTAACCTCTACACAAAACTGCTTTTGTGTTGAAACACTGGAATGGCAACAACAATATACTATATCATACGTCAAAACATAAATATATACACTAAGAATACACAAGAAGAAAGAATCAAATATAGTAGAAATAGGAATAATTAAGTAACACAATTTGCAAATAATATCAACGAGTAGCGAGGTGTGGGTTTTCCAGCTGGGTCAGAATTCCCGAGTGATGAGCTGCAGTTGTCCAAGAGCTGGGGTTCTGGCAATGGATTGGTATCCGCCATGGACTGGCGTCAATCTACTCTTTAAGGAGCTTTTGGGTGTGGGCGTGAGTGCCCACAGGTCTGGCTGGGTGCTGGAGATCGATGGAGAGAGCCGAGGCGGCTCCCCCTCTCTTTTTTTAAATACTAGAGAAGATAATCTTCAGATTCTCGAAGGAAGAAAAGGAAGAAGAAGAAGGCTAAGATAATAGCTAGCTACCTAAAATGAAGAAATAGAGGGAGATGATGAAAGGTGGGGGGCGTAACCCCTTGCTAGACATAATTTGGAGTTTTCAGAGGTCAAATTTGAATTTTGTTTGTTTGTTTGTATTACATAGTTTCCTATGTACATAAATAAGATAAAAGTGGATCATAATTCCTTGTTCCCTTCACCTTAAACAGATTTTTATATACAAATAAACAGGAAATTTTGTTTTCCACATTCATTCACTCATGCCCAGACGTGCCATACACATGCACGCATACATACATACATACATACATATATATATATATATATATATATATATATATATATATGTATGTATACATGTGTAAATACACATGCACAAACACGCTTGCATACATGGTTATATACATACATGCCCACGAACATATACGCCTATGAACGTACACACTTATACACATACTTGTGCATACATATACACACATATATATACATGCACATATATATATATATATATATATATATATATATATATATATATATATATACATATGCATATATATATACACATACATACACGCATACACATCCGTGCACATATGTATGCTCCTAGGTACATGCACACTCATGACCAGCACATGCACATACGTATACTTCGTGAACATATACTCCCATGAACGTACACCCTTATACATATACACATGCATATATATATATATATATATATATATATATATATATATATATACATACATATACATATACACATATACATATATATACATATATACATATATGCATATATATACATATATACATATACACATATTCATATATATACACATATATACACGCATACACATCCGTGCACATATGTATTCTCCTAGGTACATGCACACTCATGACCAACACATGCACATACATACATGTTTTTTTCCCGTAGGTTATCTCCATCCCACCTATTCTCGGAGTTTATCTGTCGTTGTGTGCGGAGGTTGAGGACAACTTCCGCACACTCACGACATATAAAAACCGATTCGTCGGTGAGTTTGTAAGATAACCCGTCTTCAACTCGCCTCTCTATCCTTCGTCTCGGTCTCCTCACTCGCGCCAGAGGAGATCGTGGCGTCGGCTGCGAGAGGCTGGTGAAGTGACTGCTTCTAACTCCTCCGTGTTGCAATATTGTCGTGCTGAACTCGGCCCAGGCACCGGAGCTTAAGTGGGGCTGATCTGTGCCAGCTACCCGGGAACGAGGGGAGCCTGCTGATGGTGAGGGCGAGAGGACAGGCTGGACCCAACCTGGGGGAAGTATGCCACGCTGCATGTTTCGGGGGTCGACTACAAGGTGACCTCGGCGCCGCGGGATGGAGGGTTAGGGCTTTTCCTGCTTCGGATTGGCTGAGGCTAGTTCGCTCTTAGGTCGACTTTGCCCCCAGGTCTTGGACCGAAGATGGTCTGAGATTGGTCTGATGCCCTTCTAAATGCCATGCCCTAACCGCTGTGGACTATTCACGCCCCCCACCCCCAACCATGGTCATGACCTGTGATCATGACCTAGACCCAGACAGACTCTCCGAGCATCTCCGCTCGGACGCTGTTTACCCTGGGGGCCATCGCTCCAGGCCCCCCTGCCCGGGGGGGCCTGGACACTTGCAGCTTCAACCGTCCTCGCTACCAGCTACCAACCACCTACTCCAATGAACGCTGCGACCAGAACGTGCCTTTCCCTACACAACTAAGTGAGGGACCCAACCAGGGGCCGTATTGAGCAACACTTTACGAGATCGTAAAGGGTTTGTTTACATCGTAAAACAAGCTGCTCTCTCGTTTCTCGCAACAATCGATTCTAGAGCTGCATCAAGAATTTCACACTTGAAGGTGTCCCACAGAAGTACAGGGTCTCTCAGATTGTCAAGTATTGTGAAACGACTAGAAATTACCTCAGCAACCCTCTAGGCACACTCCCCCTCCCTCAGCCTGCCCAAATGAAACACTAGGATGATCATTGGACCGATGGGGAGTTTTAAAGTGGACCCAGAGGGTAGCCACAACCAATCTATGGTCAGTACCACAGAACTCGGCACTCCTATACACCCTGTAGTTCTAGAGGATCCTGCAGCGAGTGCTAATAAAGATGTGGTCAATGTCCTTGGCTGCAATACCAGCATCACTGCACCACGTCCAGTCATGTGGGTCTTAGTGCTGGTACCAGGAGCCAGAAATTCTCAATTTCTGGGACCTTGCAAAGTCCTTGAAAAGGAGGCTATTCTCGCTGCCGGCATCAACTCCCAAACCATGGGGACCGACAGACATCTGATAGCCAGCTCGATTCGATGACAGCCAAATACTGCACTGGTCACCCAGAACAATACAAATATTTCACCGAGGACAACTGACTGACATAGATGCAAGTTTGGCATAAAACATCTCTTTCAAATCGAGTTTACAAACACCAGTAGGAGTGTACACAGCATTAAGAGATGAATCTAAATACTAGCATCAGTCTTGATATCATTATATGCTCATCGATTGGAGTACCAAGGGTTGGATTCTGCTGAAGATGACTATAGCTACTCCCTGAAGATGGTGACCAGCGCTGCGGCCTGACTAATAGGTGTAGCCACTTACACTAACTGTGCCACTGCCAGGTCTCCTCACCTCCAAGAAAGCAGCCACTTCAACTCTCAGCCACCCTAGTTCTCTCGACAGTAGAGGCAACCAATCATCCTGATGCAAAGAACGGATGTTCCAAGCCCCAACCCTGACTTCCCGCCCAGGTCTAGCCTCAGACAGTCACTGCGGGTGGACACCACCTCTCCTAATGCTGCCCCATACAAAGGGGGTTGGCAGGCTGCAGGACCCAACATCTACCTGTGGAATTCCCTTGGGCATTGCCCCACAAGCTTCACTCCAGGCTGGCGGGACGAGTAACTCCAGCTCCTATCCTGCGCTCCAGCAGTTACCCACCCTATGGGGCCCACATCCCCCCTCACTTGCTGGGCAGGAGGGGTATTTCCCTTCCTCCTAGCATTTACATTTATATTTGACACTGCACATGGGATTTATCTGGGGGGGAAGAGGATTGACAAGGCTTCCCATTACCCCAGGGAGCATAGAGGCAGGAGTTGGTACGAAGCCAGGGCGTGTCCACATGCCAGTGGGCCATAACCCTGAACCTCTAGAACTTCCTGCTGCTCCGAGATGCCCTACTGTTTAACCTGGGACCACAATGTACCCAGTTTCCTTGGGAGGCCACGAGGAGGCACTGCAGAAGTCTCGATGATGAAGAGGCTGTTAGCTGACAGGGGAGGCTTATGCAGAGTTGCTCCCTTTTTTGCACAAGGCTAGCCAGCTGTGGCAGCTGCTGCATGCAAGCACTTAACACTATGCTACTACACCATCACTTCACATCAACCTGAGCGTGAAGCACCCACCTCTGTGTATGTATGTATATGGATATTTATGTGTGAGTGCGTGAATAAATAACCTCTCTGATAGGGACTCGAAACTTTACTCTTGTATCAGGCAACTGCAAGACGAATGCTGCACCACTAAGTTATGCAACCCACTAAAAGGAGTGTGCAACTAGGAGTTAACTAGCTCCCATAGATATTACCTATCTACACACACGCACATATATGGGATACATATTAAGTGTATAACTAAAATGGAATTCACACATAAACAAACATGTCCGGACACAAATGGTAGAACGTTTATAGAATTTACACATAAGTAGGCCTATATTCACAAAGTTTGAGATTTGAAGTATTTTGAATAGGTCTTACTTGTATTCCTTCACACACTTGCGCTCCAGGAAAAGCCCCGGTGGGTACAGGCGAAGGGTTTCTGAGGGAGAGAGAAACGGAAGGGTTAATCGCACTCAGAAATGAATGGCTTGGCAACTCAGATTCTGGCACATTTGAGTTCCTTCATTCTCTTTTCTAACAATCTCCCAGAAGCTGATGTTTGATACTTCAGTTTTTATTATTATTATTATCACTATTATTGTCATTATCCGGGATGAGTTGCCAGTTTATCCTTTTCTCTTTCCCGAAGTTGGACCGAGTACTTTACTGCCTGCCAATACGAATAATCTTTCAAATAAGACAATCTGGGAGACTTACCCATGATACAGGCATCAAGATATTTGGCTTCCATGATCCCCTGGTAGGTTATGTCGCCGTGTTCCTCAACCATTTCACTCATCTCCTGACGAAGGCGTTGCTGAATCTCTGGGTGCTTGGCAAGCAGGATGGACACAAAGGCCAGCGTGGAGGCTGTGGTATCGTAACCGGCAAGCAGGAACATGACACTTTGGGAGATGATGGTCAGTTCATTCAGGGCTGCAAGAATGGAAAGTGTGTGCATTTCAATCACTACCTGGGGTAAATGTGATATGTTGTATGACGTAAATATTGTGTACTTTTTAAAAAAATTGTATGATGCACAGGTATATTGTATGATATAAAAATCCTTTAAGTTGTAAGGTGCTACGTACTTTGCTTAGACGTGGATGATTTATTGTCGTCCTGCACTGCTGAGATTCCTTCAGCATCGCCAGTGGAAACTTCAGCTTCTAGCAACAGATCCAAAAAGTCTCCCCTTTTATTTCCACTTTGCCGCGCTCGCATGGTCTCACGGGCAACTTCCGAAAAGAAATCAGTAGCTGGTACTGAAAATCTCATGTCCAACATTTTGGCAAGTTTAGGAAATACACCCAGGAAAGCAAATCTCCATATCCTTTCCGGTGTAATTTTGAAAAAAGTGTCAACCTTTTCAGCAAATTCTGGCTTTTCATCCACTAGTGAGTTGCATTCAATACCAAAGGCACAGGAGGCGATTGTGTCCAAGGTGAAGCGGCCAAAATTATACTTCATGTCGACAAAGGGCTTGGTGCGAGCTTCCTTGAGGCAAAAGGAGACGAGTTGGTCGGCCTTCTTGCACACGAGCGGGAACATCCCCTTTATTTTGCCAGACGTGAAAGTGGGAGACATGATGGCTCTCAATTTTTTCCACTCTTCACCTGTCTTCATAGACAACATGTTGGCCATTACTCTATCCTTCTTGCTCGGCATGTTAAAGGTCCGTCTGTCCATAAAGTGGTCAAAGTCCTTCACGTAAATGTGTCTCATGATTT